GCTGCATGCAGGTACAGTACCTACAATGTATACCTACTACCCAGTTGAGTGCTTGCAAACCTGTGCTTCAAAAGAATGAACATGCTCAACATGAGGGCACCAAAATCCGAGTTCTGCCAGGGTGAGGGCACGAATTCCATCGTTGGACACACATTGGACCATGCGTGAGGTTTCTACTGGGCGTGTTGTCTTAATCGTTTAACCATTTTGGAGTTGATCGAACATTAATACAGCATGTGTGTTTTGATGTTGTCAGAATTGTTGAAGTGCATCTTCCACAGAATCATTTGAGGGTCGCCACGGGTCGAATTTTGTATGTCAATGTCCAAGTAAATGTAATATTAGTTATATATATATATATATACATTATAGACAGATATAGTCTACATACTTCACAGCAAGTTTCCAACCCACTGCTTCACCCACTGTGGCCCCAATTGTTTTTTTATTCTGTTGATACACCCCCTCATCCCTCCGCTCCTACTCCACTTTGACCGCGCCTTTTGGGAACCAAATCCCTCCATATCCCTCCTTTCCCTTCGTCCTCGTCCTCCCCGACGCCGACACCGAAGAGCCATGGCGACCGTGGGCCGCTCGCAGAGCATGCCCAAGTTGGGCCGCTCGCCCAGCCGTCCTGGGCGGCCGAGCACCGGGCCCAGCTGGCCGAAGCGTCCGGCAGGCAGCGCCCATGGGCGCACCCAGAAGGATGGAAGCGGCGCAGGCATGAAGGGAACATGAAGGGGATAGAGGTAAAAGGCGGGCGGTTTTGGGAGTCTGACTTAGGGGACCTTGTACAGTAGAGCAAGGGGAGAGATGGAGGATGTGGGAGGCACGGTGTGATGGAATGGATGATGGACTTGCTGTGGTGGCATCGAGCCTGCGGTCCGACAGGCCTGCAGAAGACCGGCAGCTTTTCTCGCTTGCAGAAGAGCGATTCATTCGCGTGTCTTGGCCAGCATTTGCCACCAGATGCCCATGTATGGTGGATTGAGATGTATGTCTTGGCACAATCCCCAAAAGGTGGTTTAGGTGGTTTAGATGTGGACACCCATGGACACCCCATCTACTTGGGGGCTTGTGCCATCTGGACTTGGTGGGGGAGGTCCTGCCACCGAAGCAAACCATATAGCGCTACTGTAGACGACGCGCTGGCCTGGCGTTTATGAGGGGTGCACCGCCGGCGTGGGGCCGGACCATCTGTCAATGCTCATGTGAATGCTGCTGGTTTGTAGCGCCCAGCGTCCGTGATAATGGTGATAATGCGGAACATCTATACAGATTCCAGGGTCAGACGTGAATCTTTCAACCAAGGAAAGGAAGATGTGGTGCCTTTTCAAAACATTGCGAAATGGATTCATTCAGAAAGCCCACCTCCATAAGAGATCCCAAGAGATTGGGGCACCAACATGGCCCTCGCGTAAGGACCATGCCACTTAAGCGAACCGTCCGAGGCACGTGCCGCAAGCGGTTCGCCTGGAGTTCTACCGTTACTCCACGCCGTTGAAAGGACCCATGGGCAGCACCTTAGTCGCAGACAATATCAGACAATATATATCTCAGTCATGAATTGGGTGAGGAACACGCTTTTTGGGGAGGATTGGGGGGGTGAGTGTGAGCCCATTCACGTTCCGTCTATCATGTTGCTACCTCATGTTTTGTTTTCCGCGGGGTCGCAGGAGAAGTTCTTTGCTTGTGTGAGCTGCTCGGATGTCGTTCTACTTAGACTTCTGGTTTGGAGCCAGCAGCCCCCCCAAAAAAACACACACAGGCCCACCGGTATGGCATTTCGTGATTTGGACCTGCTGCCTGTGATGTCATTGACGGTCCTGGTCAAACCCAATAGTTGTGTTTGAAGCATTTATTTTGCGTCTTAGCGCTAAGAGGCAGCCAGGCCGGGTGCAGCCAAAAGAAGATCCACTACTCAATACCGAATACCCGGAGCCTTTCAGAGATCCAGCTAATGACTGTGAATGTGATGTTCCAGCTTTTCGAGTTGGTTTGTGTTTTTGGCCAACCAGCTCGGATGACATTCGGTGGCATGTTCTCAGGCAATGGCACAGTAGTTGTCAGACAGTGACACTTCACATGGAGAAAAAAAGAGGGACATGAATTCTTCAAGTGAAGACTCCGCCGCCATCCATCACTTCATCCCTTGCTCAGGAATGAACGTTCATCAGGCTCGCAGTGCGGGACCGCCGATCGCAGCGCTTCGTGGTCCGGCTCCGTGGAACGGTTCGTGTTCGGCTCCGTTGTGGCTCGACGTGGCGCGGGTGCGGACCGAACGGCGAAGACACGACGCGGCGGGAAGGCCATGGAAGGCGGTTCAATTGTGTAGGGTCAAGATAGGTCATTCCCATTTGATTGGTTGTTGAGCAAGAGGAATCGAAGGTGCGCCGCGCTGATGTTCCTTCGGTCCGCGTCGCCATCCAGCAAGCATCCAGAAGCCACCAACAAAGCTACAGCCTCCTTTGTAGTGAGTGAGGGCCAGTGTGAGGGCCATATGCGATACGTACCGATACCTGGAGCCTCAATTCGTATCAGAGAAAATGAGCACAAGATGGTACAAGTTGTTTTTTTCCATGTCCCATGTTCCTAAGGTACTTTGGAGGGTCTAGGTATATGATGGTGTATGGATATATGTATGTTTCGGGTATGGCCATCACATCGACTCCCTCCTCGAGCGTGGAGGTGAGCAAGAACTTCAAGTTCTATGGCTACGTCGAGGAGCTGGGCGATGGCGCTTGATGTTTCTTCAATCAGATGTGCATTCAAACAAGGAAGGGCAGTTCTCGAATCTGATTCTATTCCTCAAGCACTTGCACATGCTTTGGCAAAGGGCCACGGCCCTCAAACGAACAAAAAAGGCCTACAGTAATTGTTACTAGGACTATCCAAGGGGTGTCCAAGGGACTACCCTACACCACTGAGGGGTCTCCATTGGGCACCCCTTGGATGGTCCAGGTATGTAGTTATTTGATATGATTTGTCTTCATCTTGAGGTGTTGATCCTCAAAGAATCCATCCTGAAGGAGCTTGAGTGTCGCAGTGTTACTGTGGAGCAAGTGTTGCAGATCAAGAACTACGCTGCACACTGTCCATAACTTGGGGCACAGCGTGGGTGTCATGTAGGTTCCAAGAAACATGGGGTGAAGGACTGGCCCTCTAAGCAAATGAATTCGCATCATGTCATCCACATCCTGCCCAGGAAAAGTGGATAAAGCATGATAAATCCATGATCATTTCCGAAAGACGCATCCCCAGACGCTCTTTTGATTCTTCTTGAGGATTCCAGGACGCACCCCAAGCTCACAGGACCCCAGTCAGCTGACCCCCCAGTCGTTTGACTTACCGGTTGCGAGGTCGGTTGCGGGGTCGGTCGGCACCTACCGACCTTGTCATCCACGGCGTTCGTTCGTTCGTGGGTCACCGTTGGGGGCGACGGCATGTCGATCCTGTCGACACTGTCGATGGGAAGCTGTGGGTACATGTGGGTGCCCAAGTGCCATCAACGGCCTTCAGAAATTGGAGTTTTTCACTCCTGAAACCATGGGTAGTTATGGGTAGGTGATGGCGTATGCCCAAGATGGCGTAACCATTGTCCTTTGTTTTGGCATTCGAAAAACTCAGGGTCTTTCCTGGAGCCATGCCATCCACGTAACTGGAGGGAGGGTGTCCTTTGGCTACCTCAGGCTACCTGAATCGCCCATCGGTTTATGACTGAGTTGCTTGGGGGTGAGCACTCAGACTCCACGGACTTTGGACATGATGCTACCCTTCTTGGGTCTCTTCTCAGTACGCACTTGGATGCGCATCGCTGATCAAAGGCGGCAAACAATAACCATACTTCATCCTACTGTATACTCATGGACTCTCATGGACATCTATAAAAGGGAATGCGATGTACAATGCAGTACTGAAGGACTCTCCATGTGCCATTCCCATACACGTCGCACCAAACGATCCCGGGCCAAAGCGGTTTGCTTTTGCCTGAGGCAGGACGCACAGGTCCTCACAACAGGTCCTCACCACATACTGCACAAATTGCAAGTACTACCACACCACACGGTTCGTCCATGCCTCAATGATCCATCCGACAAAAAACGAAGCAAGGTCGGCAACTGCTATGCCTGGAGTATTCCCGCTTCAACCTTGAACTTCTACCACATCCACGAGTGGATGGTGCGCCCTGCCACCAGGCAAGCCCAAAGTTGCCTCAGTTTTTCCTTAGATTCCGAGTATCTTTCCCAGACACTCCATGGGACTGCCAGTCCGGACTGCCGCCCCAGACAGACCCCCATGGCACCCCAAGTGATCGGCATGGCAGTCCCGTGGAGTGGTTGGGTTTGGGACGACGGACGTGACACCGTGATGTTCCAGCTGGTGAGACCAAGCCTCAGTGGGGCATCCAATTTTGGCACACCTTTTGGTGGGACATCCTGCCAGATTTCCTTGCCAGGGAGCTCAACAGCGCGATGATGGAACATTTGTCGGAGAGGAAGCTTTTGCCCAACTGGCGGCTTGTCGTGTGAAAGGACCATGGAGCTCGGGTGTTGGGAGGACGGTTGAAAGTTTGAGCGATAGAGAGAGAGAGAGAGGGAGAGAGATTGAGAGAGAGAGAGAGACAGAAAGAAAGAAATAAATATTTTAAAGAAAGAAAGAAAACAATAAAGAACGAACGAACGAACGGAAGAAGGAAAGAAACAAAGAAGGAAAGAAAGAAAGAACGATTGAATGAAAGAAATACGTATATAAAGAAATAAAGATAGCCATGTGTGTTGCTTCCCGACTTGCAGTGTTTGAAGATAACTAGAACAACCTGACACACATTAATTTCCATACACAAACACAGCTCCTCGACTTGGACCACTTGTACTTGTGTCAGCCTGTGTTCGCAAGAGACTTTGTTGGATGATTTGTTGGATCTTGGCTCCAGTGCAAGCCAACATAGCAGGTACTACCGTTGTTTTCTGAGTCTTTTCGCTTTCCCTCCTTTGCAAATCATGCCGCGGGCTGCTCCAAACTTCGGGCATGTGCAGATGAAGGCCGTGTTGTTCATGTTGCTTTTGGCCGGTCACGATTGCGTCCGTGTGACTGAAGAAGTTCAATGGTCAAAGTCCAAATGGGACCAGCTGCATGAGGATTGCACTTGGTCGTTCACCAAGGGGTGTGGTGGTGAGGGATGTGTGCGGAAGCGCTTGCCTTTGGACTTGACTCCTTCAGCGAGTTGCCGGCACACGGATGCATACCTGCTGAAGCACAATGGTATGAAGAACTTTCAGACCATCGTGAACCACTTGCAGGAGAAGAGTGACAAGTTTGCCGAGTCTTGCCAAGGGGCCCGCTTTTGGAGCCTGGGCGCGATCCAGTTTAAAAATACATTGCCATTAGGCGATGCCAATTTTTGCATGGGTGTTCCATTCTTTTGCCGAAGGAACACTTCCACCATAAGATCATTACGTAAGTAGTTAACCCATGGATGCTACCTGATGCAGGAGTGAACACTGGTCCCCCCAGTCCCTCCTGAGAGTTACTTCCTGTGGAAGGGACCCGATCTCCGCAGCGCTCCGCGGCGCGCCGCGGCGCCTCCGCTGCGACCCAAGGAATCGCAAGTGCAAGCGTCGCGAGGCACAGATCTTCGAAGCGATGATGTTCATCACCAGGGCACCGACTGACAAGGACTTTATGTCCCAACTGGATGAAGGTCAAAAAGCCACTGTTGGTGACTGGGCGATTGATTGGTGTGATTGATCCGTTCAGAGATATTTCTGGGGAGACTGGGGTGACCCGCCATGATAAGCTGTGAAAGATGTAGAGACCTGAACTAATTGCGGCAGGTGTTGCAGATGTGGATATGTTGACTCTTCTATACGCGCCAAAAAGAGAAGTCTGTGGTGAGGCGATGCCTTGGGAAAGACCTTGCAGAACCTTGCTTCTTCAGAAGAAGAGCGCCAACTGATCCAGGCACGGAGCCAGCGAGAGCCAGCATGGAGCCAGTGTCCTGTGACATCCTGCTCTTGGATTGAAACCGTGGTTGGAGTGAATGCCTCAACCATCGTTCCTAAAAGTGCTTAGACCAAGCTGAGCTGCCTTGAATTAGACCAAGCTGAGCTGCCTTGAATTAGACCAAGCTGAGCTGCCTTGAATTGAGCAAGAAGCACCTGGTCAGGAGCTGACGCGGAAGATGAAGGGACACGGATCCGAGTTCCTGAAGAATCCAGAGGAGTTCTCAGCCAAGGCCACCCAGCTGGTGATGGAGCTACTGGAAGGCTCACCCGAAGAGCAGCTCGCCGAGTCGGTCGGTCTAACCCGGCGTGGAGAGGACGGACGGGGGTTTTGAAAGGCCAGACATGGAGGCCCCATAGACGCCAGACATTGACTTGTTGAGCCTCAAGCCTCATGTGACTCATGTTGCTATCGGTAGTTGCCCTTGACCACTTACCAGATTGCGACCAGATAGTGCAATCCACGACAAATAGCCACCCGTCAAAGAGCCCAGAAAATGGTCAATCTCCTGCAGAAGGAGGCGAAAGAAGGGGAAAGGAAAGGGGACATGAAATATAATGAAATGACCACAGGAGTGGGGACCCATGACCCAAGCCAATGCCAACTCTGCAAGGGTAGATGCCACTGCTGACCCTTCACGGCTGTTGGTTGAAACAAGGCAGCAAATTCCGGCAAGAGTAAGATGAGCGGGCTACAAGTGTTGGATGCGATCCGCGTCCTTAATCTCCCGCTTCAGCGTGCTGAGCTCTTTGAGCTTCACAACCTTTTCCCACGCCAACTCAGCTTTGAAGCGGGCTTGCAAGTAAGTTTGGTCTCTCATGTTCCTTGGCTTGGATGGAGGTGAGATTACGCCTGCTCAGCACTTTCAACTTCTTTTGCCACGAAACTGAGACAGCCCTGAGCGAAGCCTGTGTAGCCACACGCGCACAGGCGTTTTTGCCGCGCTTGTTTCCTGTCCGCAGCGGCGCTTCGAGAGCTGCTATTTTTGCTGGGCCGCTGCTTCGGCCATGTCGGTTGCTTTAGCTACACCCTTGTTGGATCTTGTTGGTATTTTCCAGTTTTTGGATTGAATGTCAGCCATCGTTCCGATCACACTGTGTGTTGAAAGCGCCAAGCGCATTTTGTTATGTGGAGCCATTAGCCGCATTAGCCACGAAACTTGCTCAATTCGACCCATGCCAGGGAGATCCAGGGAGTCTTGGCGCTGAAGTTTTGTGTTCGTGGCCAATGGCCTCACGCACTTGTCGTGGAATTTGCGCGCAGTCGCCGGAGACTTGCTATATATAGGATGCAACAGCGGGCTACGCGCGACATGCGCTAAGGAAAGCGGTCGCATCTGCCAGCTTCCACTTTGCTTCTTCCAATGGCCGCTTCTTCCACGGACCCTCCTAGCGATGAAGTGGCGTGGTTTCTGATGCTTGCCATCTAAATCGCCTTCAGATTGGCCAACAACCCGTTTTTGCTCAATAGGCTGGGGCTTGCTATGGGTTTGTGGCTCCATCTCAGGGAAAGATTGCGAAGGAATCCACGCCCAATCGTTGCAAGGCCAGGCTGTGAGTGCTCACTGCATCTAAGTTTCATTCATTGCCTTCCACGTATGGGTGCCATGCCGTGATTAGCCCGGCCCCAAGTACGCCAGACTGACAACACTGAAATACACTGGACAATTGAAATTCACGTTCCATAGGGATAGATAGACCCATCCATTCCGCGCAGCGCCGACTGAACTTCAGGGCGTTTCCTGTTGGGTGTAACGTAGGCAGAGGGGTCCGACTCCTATCAGAGATCCCCTAACTTCAGTCGGCGCTGCGCCGAGTGAACTTTGGAGGTCTTTTCACACAGACCACTCGTTCTCTCAGTTTTTGGCGGGCACTTGAGTCAAGGCGTCGCCGCGCCAGAATGACATTATTGGGCGTTGCCGAAAGACAGCGCCGATATGCTGTGCAAGGTAGGCAGCAAAGGAAAACACAAGGTGAGAAGATGGAAAGGTGAGCGCGCGAGAGAGAGAGAGAGAGAGACATACTCTTCGGTTGGTTCTGGTTGTTAACTCTCACCTCTTCTTGATTGTGGCCGTTTGTTTGTTTGCTGCTGTTGTTGTCGCTGTTGTGGAAGCTCTTGTAGCCGCTCTATGGGCGCAGACCGGCGCCCCACCGGCGCGTACGACCGGCGCCCGTACGACAGGGCAAGCTGGTGTACTTCCTGCGCGCCTGACACCACTTTGCGTTCCAACAGCAACCTGCTGGGCCACAGCGTTTTCAGGAGACGCAGTGGCCAATTTTTCAGCGATCAAAGCAAAGAGAAACAGAGAATTGGCAAAAGTAACTTTAGGGGGACGCAGGTGCCACGGTATACAATCGAAGCATCCAAGGCGAATTTTATTTGACCAACTGCAGGCAGTTGCAGGCAGGCGGTTGATGCTCCTCCACCATCCTCCACCCATCTTCCGAAGGGATTCCATTCATGGCTCTTTCCGACGTTCTCTTTGATGCAAGCCAGCCTGGCAAGTCTTTCCGCAGTTTTCTTCCTGGTTCTGCAGCTCACTGTCTCCAAAGTACCTAAGCAAGGCAGGGGGTCCTTTGCAGGGGGTCCAGCCAAGGCAGGGGTTCCAGCCACCCAGTCGCCGCTAACACACACTTGAGCCTCGGGGACAAATAGCATTCCTCCATAAACCTCGATTGCATAGCCTTCCTGCAAGGCAGAGAAAGGGAACAGAGCAGAAAAGAAACGCAAAACGCCTGTACACAGATGCGTTGCCAAAGGATTTTCGCCTTGGATGCCATATTTCCCCTGATTACAGTCAAGGCGGTGGATTTTTCAGGAACGGACCGGGTTCCATTATAAATACTATATTTGATTGCCGAAGTCGTGGGGTCATGATCCGAGAGCCAAGAGCTGGGAATTTGTGTTTTTGACCTTGTTTTTGGTGTTAATTTAGAATCCCAGACCGGTTATGTTTTTTTTTACAACGTGCTTTCGTTTTGGAGACAATTCATCCCTCTCAAAGAATGAAGCGCACCAAAACTACAGGTGTTGGGAGTTGGTCACAGTCTACCCTGTCAAGGATCCTTTTTGAGGGTCCACACACACACACCCTGCGAGGTCTGCAGGGGCAAAGCCCTCCACGGTCCAATAATGGTGAATTGATGTAGAATCTTGATGAGTTTTTGCAATCCAAATGGGGCATGAAATGGCATGAATCAAGATCCTGCATGAGGGCAACACTTCATTGGGCAACGATCACCACTCCCAAAGTGTTTTTCTTCGGCGTTCGAGCACCGAAGTTCGGTCCGGTCGCTGGGCGTTCTCCTCACCGTGTGTCGTTCCAGTCACGTCCGAGTTGTGAAGATCGAGCTGATTTGAGGCGGTCGCATCACTCGTGTTGGGGCCCGGGGTATGTTCTGATCGCACCACTTGCTGCAACCAGGTGTGTGGTGCGATCATTGGGGTAAGGCACATAGAGACGAGAATCCGTTATTTTGTTAAGGCACTTGCTGCAAGTGTTCCCTAAAATCATTTAGTGAGCTCTCTAACATCAACAGCGATACTTGTGTTGGTGTGTGCAACTGCAATTCAACGCGGGTACATGAAGTCGGTTTGTTGTTGAGTTTACGCATGGTGGCCAGTGTTAGTGTGATGAAGATCTCGCCACTCAGGAAAGAAGCAGCCAAAAAAGAGATCTCCGAGATGCCAGAGACAGCTCCAGCACTGTCAGCAGACGAGGAGGCCACCGCCATCCAGAAGCTGAAAGACATGGAAAAGGAGTTTGAAGAAAACCGTGGTGTTTGGGCTGCCAAGGCGTCGTTCGAGATATTAGTGGGTACGGTACGGTACATATCCAACATCTAACCCCCAAGACATGTTTGTCGTGGAGCATGCGTGCGTTTTATCCCAATGGGATGTTGATTTTCCAGATCGTTGTCGCTCAGATCGTCATGCCACGCATGTCCTGCGTTTCGCTTCCAAGGAGACATTGAGCATGCCTTGGACGAGGTGGACCAAAAGACCAACGAGCTAGTAGAAGAGGAGGCAGATGAGGACGAAAATGAGGGTGGTGACTCTGCCTTGCAAATCCGTCCAACAGAAATAGAGGACCGTAACCTGGTTTTGCGGATCAGGAGACTTTTTCTATGCTATATTAAATCATGTTAAATCACATTGTTTTTATTTGTTTCGGCCTGCTTAAGCTCAATAAGGTAAAGGCACCGCTCTCCTTCTGAGCATCAGCGTGAGCTGGTTTCCAATACTACTCCTTGCGCTGACCAGCCCAGTGGGATGGACCATCCTCGCCTCCGTCATTATTTGGGGAGTGACCGCCAACTTTTTCTGTTTTCTGGACACCTGGCTTGTTGTCGGGTGATTTTCGGCCGTAACTGAGTGTTCATCCCAATGACCGGAATTGGCAATCTATGGGAAGCTTTCATGTGTTTTTTTGGAACACCTGGCCTAAAACGTGTTCCCGATCTGGAACTATTTTCGATGTGTCCTCAAGCAATCCAAGGAAATGGATGGAGCGAACGAGCACTACAAAGATTGCGTGAAGAAAGTCCTTTTAGCTCCTGTGAATGCGGTGAAATTCCTGGCCAAGGGGGCCTGGCGGATCAGTAAGAAAGCCTACCGCTTCATTCGTGGGAAGAACGAGACCAGCACAAGTAACCTTCAGATCACCAGAGCGGCTGCGCTTGGGGGGGATGCCGACTTCTAATGCTTGACTTCATGAGGGCATACGCAATAAGCGGCATTTTGCTCGCTGAGTTGGCCAAAAACAAGGGTGCGGCTGAGGAGTGAGGGATAAGTTTGGATAAACCCCCGAGATCTCTCGACGGGGAAAGAAGGTTAGGCCAGGCAGGCCAGAGATGTCAGTGGCCAGGCCACTGGCTTAAACAAATAGGTTGCAGCCACTTTTGGGTTCCTTGACCATTGACGCCCACAGACGCTGCCACCCACCAGCATCAGCACTAACAGCACCAGTGGAATAGGAGCGGGACAACAAGAACAAGACAACCAACAATTACTCTACTTCGGGTGATCCACACCCTAAAGGCGATTTGGACAAAGGCAGGGAACATGCCGGAGAAAGGCGGGCATGCGGATTAGACACCATGTTCTGACGATTGTTTTGGCATCAAGTTTGGTTTGTGCTCGAAGTAGGTAATAGAGGTCCGGGAGTGCTCATTTGCGATCTGGAGCTTGCTGTTGAGGTAGATCAGCCAAGTCACCAAACATGCACAAAGCACCAACTCGACGAGTTGATCGTTCTTTTTTGCGTTGAAGGGTACAAGGGAAATAGATAAGGTTCAGGAATCCTCAGGTGCCCAGTAAGTTCTCCAAAAACATTACCTGACCCCATCCAATCCACCAATGCACAAATGCACAAAGCGTGGTACCATTGACCGTGGCTCATATGTTTTCATTTGTTGCGTCCGCTCTGGAGAACCATGTCCATGCAGCGGAGGTGGGATCTATGAATCTATGTCTAACGATTCCGACATGTGCCCGGGGTTTTCATGCCTCGGATCTTGGCTCCAGTGACCAAACTAGCACGGTTGTTTTCTAATTCTAAGTCACTTCGCTGTGCCGCCTCTGCTAATCATGCCGCGGGCTGCTCCAAACTTCGGGCATGTGCAGATGAAGGCCGTGTTGTTCATGTTGCTTTTGGCCGGTCACGATTGCGTCCGTGTGACCGAAGAAGTTCAATGGTCAAAGTCCAAATGGGACCAGCTGCATGAGGATTGCACTTGGTCGTTCACCAAGGGGTGTGGCGGTGAGGGATGTGTGCGGAAGCGCTTGTCTTTGGACTTGACTCCTTCAGCGAGTTGCCGGCACACGGATGCATACCTGCTGAAGCACAATGGTATGAAGAACTTTCAGACCATCGTGAACCACTTGCAGGAGAAGAGTGACAAGTTTGCCCAGTCCTGCCAAGGGGCCCGCTTTTGGAGCCTGGGCGCGATCCAGTTTAAAAATACATTGCCCTTAGGCGATGCCAATTTTTGCATGGGTGTTCCATTCTTTTGCCGAAGGAACACTTCCACCATAAGATCATTGCGTAAGTAGTTAACCCATGGATGCTAGTTAACAAGGGGCCCGCTTTTGGACCCTTGGTGCAGCTCAAAAAATTGTTCGCCCAACGTGCCGCAAAACACCAACCCTTGTTTTTTCATACGGTCTTCTATTTCCCTGTGGATACTTTGCAGGCGGCAATTATAGAAATCCTGCACTTCATGAGAAAGGCTGGCGGTCTCAGACCACGAACAGCTGCAAAGTCAAAAAAAAGCACTTCATGAGATTGCCCATATTGTCACAGGGCTTTCTACACCGTTTTGGTTGTGCAGAATTAATTTTCCTTCAACTGTACTGAATGCATGACAGTAAGTTATTTGAAAGTGATCAGCTTTCCCCAGCCGCCCCGGAAATACATATCACCGGTCCAATGAAAGGGACCACGCAGCAAGCTGTGCAGAGATCCGAGGAATCGCAAGTGTAAGCGTCGTGAAGCACAGATATTTGATGCGATCAAGTTCATCACGAGAAGCACCGACTGACAAGGACTTGATGTCCCAACTGGAAGGTGACAAAGCCACTGTGGGTGACTGGGCGATTCACTGATGTCACAATGGGTGTGGGTCCGCTCCAGGTGGAGCTAACACTTTTCGAGATATTTCTGGGGCAACTGGGTTGACCCCCCTCTAGTAGCATCCTTGCTAGTAGTAAGGCCAGGAGCCCCTAGTAGCGTCCTTGCTCCTATGTCTAAGTGTGTGTTTGTTTGTGTTTGGGGATTGCACCCTAGTACCCATGGGGGTCCGGGCCCACCAGGCCGTATTCTCTCTACTGTGTGACGCCAGTCACGCGTCGTCCGAGAAAACAGTGGGGCGACCATGTGTTCGTTTCACTTTCACTTGGTGGCCAGTGTCAGTGTGATGAAGCCGCGCCACTCAGGAAAGAAGCAGCCAAGAAAGAGATCTCAGAGATGCCAGAGACAGGTCCAGCACTGTCAGCAGACGAGGAGGCCACCGCCATCCAGAAGCTGAAAGACATGGAAAAGGAGTTTGAAGAACATTACGGCATTTTGGCTGTCCAAGGGATTGTTGAGATAAGATACCGTATAAATCCGTATAAATAATATATACATAGGTTACCTATATATATTATATATATTGGGTACATATCTAACATCTAATGCCCAAGACGTCCCAGGTAATGTTTTGAGCATGCATACGGTTTCTCACATGGGATGCTGAGTTTCTTGAAGTTCAGATCGGTGTCGCTTGTCGGTGGGAAAGCATGTCCTTCCAAGGAGACATTGAGCAGGCCTTGGACGAGGTGGACCAAGGTGGACCAACGAGCTAGTAGAAGAGGAGGCAGATGAGGACGAACATGAGGGTGGCTTTGCCTTGCAAATCCTTCCATTGGAGGACCGTAAACGCATCGTTTCCATGTGGGCGCTGGGATCTAGTTCCATGCCGATCCTGATGCTTGCGATCAGCTCGCCTGTGGGTTGGGCCATCGCCGGCTCTTTCCTTGCTTTCGGAATTATGGGCACCTTCTTTTGTTGGATTGATACCTGGTTGATCATGGTAATTCTTCTGCATCTGGTTCTTTTCAAGCGAAAGGCTCCTGGCTTGATACAGGGGGTTTCTTCCCGAGCTGCTCCATTTGGGGAACATGTTTCCGCGCAAATCTAAGGAAATGGATGGTGTGAACAAGAACTTCAGAGATTGTGTGAAGTATGCTCTTTTGTCTCCATTGAAAGCAGTGAAATTCCTGGCCAAGGCGGCCTGGCGCATCAGTAAGAAAGCCTTCCGCTTCATTCGCGGGAAGAAGGAGACCAGCACAAGCACGGTCAGTGACCTGCAGATCACCGGATCGACTGAGAGGATGGTAGACTCTTGCTTCGACAGGTCGGCACATGTGAGGTCGGAAGGCCTAAACCTCGAGAGGTTTCGGCCCGGTTTGCCACGAGTTTCGGCCGGGGCGGGTCAAAGAGGCCGCCTTTTTTCTTTTTGGCACGGTTTCAGCCAACGTCGGCTCGGAGAAAGGGCAGAGAGAGCGTGCCGGCGTCGTTCAATGATCGTTCAGGCATACATGGGAACGATGGGTTCGGGACCTGCATGTCACGGACATTCATGTTGAAGGCATTCACCTCGATTCTGAGGTTCATCAGCCACTATTGGGGAGAGCACCTGGAGAAGTTCTTGGAGGGTGTAAGGCCAGTGTGCAACTCTGAGACTTCTGTGCCCAAGTCTCGGAGAACGCGCCAAACTCTTCAGAGACTTCGGATTAGCGTCCGGGACATCACTCGATTCTGCGTTAGGTGACTCGCTATCCCGCACAATAGCTGCATGATTTACAATGGATGGTAGCTGTATACCTACCTTGGGTCAGTTCTATCCAATTGCACCCAGTCGGTAGAGGCTTTAGACTCTAGACCTTCAGCTTTTGTATGGGCCATATGGGTACCCCTCTCTCTCAACCTGAGCCATCCGTGGAGCCATCCGTGGAGCCCTGTGATGGTCAAATTTGCTGTACCCCTACCGCACGTTGGCGCGTTGTTCCGGTGAAAGGCAGCACTTGGCCGTACGTGGCTTGAGCGGCCGGACTGGCTACTGGCTTGGTGCCTTTGCGACGCGCCACACTGCCGCTTGGGCGGTGGGATGCGGTGTGTATCGGTAGGGTTTTTTGATACACAAAACTCAGTCGAGCTTTGGAATGAGGTATGCAAGTTGCCTGGTAGTTTCGATTAAATTGCGGTTTCGGTTCGTGTACGTGGCTAGATTTTTTGGAACCTCCATAGGACATACATGAGGCAACAATAAGTCTGTTGCACAAGCAAAGTCGCCAGAAGCACATCTTGCCCTGCTTTTTGCAGTAGATCATTCACCTTGTCGATTCCTTGCGCAACCAATATTGGCACCAGCATGCAATAGCACATGGTGGGGACTGCAATGTTTCTTGACTATCGTCAGGGTCTTGATCACCGTTTTCTTGCAGCAACTGTAGCAACTTGGGAGTCACGAGGGGGATTTCAGTGTTCAGACAAAGAGATCATAAGGCAAAGCTTGGTGTGCAGGACCTTTTGATGCGCAGAGTCGTTTGGCACGCCAGCGGATTGTCAACCTTTGCACGTTTTGGCTCGTGTGCCCGACAATGGCAACAGCTGTTTCCGGGGCATTCCCTGTTTTTTTTGTGAGCCCTTTGCGGATCGTGGCATTTATTCAGAACAACAACACCAGGTCACCTGGAAAGCGGAAATCAATGATCAACTATTGTGATCCTTTCCTATCGGTTCCTATTCTATGACTTCCCCCTCCCCTCCCCCCAGCCCAAGGGTAGTTTTAAAAAGACACATCGACAGACAGTCTTCGTTCCTGCACTGAGGATTTCACCGACACCGGCACCTTCTCTCCGCACGTTTGGTCCAAGGTCGCCGAGGCGGTTGAGAGACAACCACTCGGCCGTGGCCGAACGGCGCCTTTTCTTGCTCCCACCCAGGAGGCCAAACAGCACGAAAGCATGAACGACAGATGAACAGTAGCTCAATTGGCTGTTATAAATCCTTTCGCACTCAAAGCTGTGTTGCGAATCCGCGCGGGAAACCCTTTCAAGCAGAGCTATGCGAAGAGCACAGGGCTCGTCTTCCGCCTTCCACCGCCGCATTCCACCGTGTGACACGGCCCTTCGGCCGCGCGACGCCCTCCTTCACCCCTAGCTTGGTCGCTTGAAAAGGTTGAAGTTCTTTCGAGATCTTTCGTGGTTGACTAGAAACGCTTCACTTCACCGGAGGAAACGCTTCACTTCACTGGAGGAAACGCTTCACTTCACTGGA